AAAGGAACTACTAACCTGAGTCAAAGGAACCAGGGAACTTAGTTTTGTAAATATGAGCCTCATCCTTTTACCAAGATGTAGGGTTGTTGGCTGCTTGTTTACTCTGGAATTGCCATGCATGTTTAGAAATTTTACGTGTTCATTCTTTCATAGCCAATCATTGAGGGACCTGGTACTCAGTTTGATTTTATCTACCCCAATGCCAGTCAATTCTTTTTAAAGTGCTCTCTGCTCAATGCTTTGGTGAAGATATTTTCTACCTGGTCCTCTGTTTTGCAAAACTTCATGCAGATGAGGCCCTTTTCAATATTATCCGTGAGAAAATAATGTCGCACATCAATGTGCTTTGTTCGCTTTTGTTGAACCGGGTTCTTTGCCATGTTGAGAGCACTTGTGTTATCACATAGTAGTGGCACAAAATCCAAAAACATACCGAAATCTTCCAGTTGTTGTTTGATCCATAGCAGTTAAGCATAACAAGAGGCAACTACCACATATTCAGCTTCTGCAGTTGAAAGAGCCACAGATTTTTGTTTCTTTATACCCCATGAGATTAAGCATGACCTCAAAAAGTGTGTCATGCCAGATGTGCTCTTTCTATCAAATAGATAACGAGCATAACTAGCATCAGCATACCCAATTAAGTCAAAATTGTCTCCTGACATATAGTAGAGAACCAGGTCCTGCGTTCCTTTGAGATACCTTAGAATCCTCACGGCAGCTTTCAGACGAGATTCCTTTGGACTGGATTGAAATCTAGCGCATAATCCCACAGTGAATACAATATCAGGTCTGCTAGTTGTGAGATACAAGAATGAACCAATGATACCTCTATAAATAGTTGCATTAACAGGAGAGCCAGGTTCATTCATGTCCAGACAAGTGGCAGTGGCAATAAGAGTATCAATGATTTTTGAACTTTTTATCTCAAATATCTTCAGGAGCTCTTTAATGTACTTCTGCTGACTTATCATCGTTCCCTTAGTATTTGCTTAACTTGCAACCCGAAGAAAAAATTCAGTTCCTCCATCATGTTCATTTCAAACTCGCTTACCATAAGCTTTGCAAACTCCTCACACAAGGAATCACTTGTTGCACCAAAGATGATGTTGTCAACATAAACTTGCACAATGAGTAGGTTCCTCCCTCATTTCTTCAAAAATAGGGTGTTATCAATTTTTTCTCTTGTAAAGCTATTTTCCATAAGGAACTTGGGCAACCTTTCATACCATGCACGAGGGGCCTATTTCAGCCCATATAGTTCTTTGTCAAGTTTGAATACATGTTCAGGATACTTATGACACTCAGAAATGCACTCTTGACATCCATTTGGAATATTTTGAATTCCATATGAGAAGTAAAGGCAATGAGGATTCTGATGGCTTCCATTCGAGCAACTGGGGCAAAAGTCTCATCATAGTCAATCCCTTCTTCTTAATTGTAGCCTTGAACTACTAACCTAGCCTTGTTCCTTGTTGTATTCCCATACTCATCAAGCTTGTTTCTGAACACCCACCTGGTTCCTATAATAGTTCTATTTGAGGGTCGAGGAACCAAGTGCCATACACCATTTCTCTCAAATTGATGGAGTTCATCTTGCATAGCAGTAATCTAGTCAGCATCTTTCAATGCTTCCTTGATATTTTTGGGGTCAATTTGAGAAATGAAAGTTGAGAAAGCAAGCGAGTTTTTTTGTCTTTGATCTGGTTTAAATTCCTGAATCAAGAAGAGTGATTATATTTTGGAGAGGATGTGAACTTTTGTGCTTCGAGTTAAGACACTTGAATCTCATTGTGTGAAGACTCAAGTTCCTCTGAATGGGATCCATTATTGGCATCTATGGAGGGGTGAGTACCATTTCTCTGCTCAGCGTCAGGGGTTCCTTGCACGACATCAACAACTCTGTCTTCTGCTTCAGTTATTATAATGGAGGAACCAGGTTCTTCTGTATCAGCTGGAGGTTCTATTGTATTCTCTTCGTTGGATTCCTTGACTTGACTCATCAAATCAGTATTTCCATTTGCCATATCAATAACTTCTCCAGGAACCTTTGACTGCTTTCAGTCTTGATCAATCTTATCATGTGAATCTTTACCACATAAGTGGTGTGATTCATCAAAGATTACATGTATACTTTCATCAACACATTGAGTCCTTTTGTTGTAGACCTTGTCTTCTTTGCTTTATGAGAAATATCCAAGAAAGATTCATTCATCACTTTTGACATAAAAGTTTGCTCTAGCGCTTCCTTACCATTATTGAGAACGAAGCAATTACATACAAATTTTCTTAGGTGAGTTAGCTTGGGTTGACACAAGTTTACAAGTTGAATTAAACTTACACGAAGTAAAATTAGAAGGAGAAGCCCGGTAGAGTCAAAGTAAAAGTCCAAACATCGATTTATTAGTCAACTTGGTTTGGCATCTTTGCAAGTACTAATCAAATACTAATAGTGAAAAGCGCAATTACCCTAGCAGAAATTTCAAACGGTCAAATTTGTTCCTAATAAACAATCCCTAAGTCTCCACTAGCATTAATTAAATAAAGAACTAAGAGCCTGTTTGGATGAGCTTAAAAGCTGGTAAGTTTTTAAACAGTTTTTAACTTGTGGAAGTGTTTGGCAACCAAAAATAAAATTTTAAAAAAATTAAAATCTGCTTTAAAAAAAAGTCAAAATCAATAAGTTCGAAAACCCAACTTTTTCTAAATTGGCTTAAAAGCCATATTGATTTGACCAAAGATATTACATTCTTATCCCTTATAATTTTTCTTAATCCCGAAATTATCTCTCATTAGAAATATTGTTCTTTTAGCTTCTTTTTTTTTTGTTCCATAACATTTAATTTTTTTTGTCATTGAATCCTTCCTTTTTTTTAATTGGTGTAACTATATTCTAAAATTAAATCAGTCATCATCTTCTTTATAATGTTAACAACTTTAAGGATATTTCAGTCATTTTAACAAGAAAAAGTGTTTACCAGCACTTGTTTACCAAACACTTAATCAGCTTGTTTTTAGTTTCAGCACTTTTATCCAAACACGTAACTGTTTATTTATAAAATAAGTTTCAACACTTATAAAGTAATTTTAAGCACTTAACTTAAAAGTCACTTTTTTAAGTCAATCCAAACAGACTCTAAATCAGCCTATCAATTAATTAAATTTTAATAAAGGAGACTCTAAGAACAAGAGAAATTACTCAAATAAAGATCAAAACGAGACGTTTGCGGTTAAAAAATATTTTACCAAAGAGGAAACAGTCAGCAATCATGTGAATGCAATAAAAAATGTTTTACGCGGCAGCCTTTTATTTCTGATCTTACTCTTCACCAGTATGGAAGTGTCAAGTGAGTGGATACCAACTGATCTAATCAGATGATTCACATCACCACCCATATGGTTTTCTTACCTAAGTTCACATTAATAGTATTAATTTTTGTGAAAAACGTTAAAGAGACTACTGTGTTTTTGTCAGCTAATATATATTAATTTTAGTTTTAACTACCTTTTCTTTTTGGCAAAAAAGTTATTCCTTAATCATTAGGATTCTCACTACCAACTAAATGGTTTAGATGCATGAACTGTTCTCCCTCTAAACTTAACTACTCTTTTAATAAGCAATCTTGAGTAGAAATATTTCAAATCAAAACTCAGAAAATTCTATTTAAATTGATGGCATTGTTGAGTATGTTGAGGGGTATGAAGAGGGAGCTAGGGCCAAAAACTGCCCTTAACTTATGTTAGTTGTAACTAATACTAAGTAACTAGAAAATAATCATTAGGATAGATGCTGGGAAAAGAATGTATAGTGGTGGACAGGCAAGGAACTTTGAAGAGCGTCTTAAATTACGGATACTCCAAAAGTCAAGGATAAACTTCTCTCCTTTCAAATTTTATTTTGCGGTAACATAATTTTAATTTTTTTAATAAAAAGGAAAATTTCAAAACATATAAATACTCGTAAAAACGAATAGTTACTCCTACAGAAGATCGATCTTTATTCGTCTCTATGCAAATTTTCTCTCATCCAATTTAAACGATAAATAAATTAAACTAGCTCAATAGATTTGGCATTCTGTTGGGAAAAAATAAGTATAGATCTTGCATTCTAGTATAAACGAATCATCTCTGCTTCTTTTCCTTAGATACCGCTCTCAAATAAATTAGAAAATTGTTTCTTTAGAAACATCGAAAGAATTGAATGAAGCTCAAATTCTTACCTCTCATTTCTCCATCTTCGATAAAAAAGAAAGCACAACAGATCTAGTGAGTGGTCAAAAAGCGGGTGAAAACCATGAAAAGCTAAGGTTCATATTAAATTTCAATAAAGACGCTAAGTATTTTTTTTTACGGTTATTTAGGTTAATTTTTTATATGAATTTTAGTGGATATAATTATTCAATACAACGATACGTATATACCTGATGGTCTATAGATGCGCTCAAGTTCATCAGAACACCTAGGGGTCGTCTGGTAGGGTATATAAGAATAATATTGAATAGAGTATATTAGTAACGGTGATATTATTTATGTTAAGATTATTTCTTATACACTGTTTGGTTTGGACGTACTAAAAATAACATGCATTGCATAAGAATGTATATATGCTTATCCATGTATTAGTTATACATAGATTGAAAATTACTATCAAACAAGAGATCAATAATAACAAAGCTAATACATATATTATTTTTCCCTAATTAATCCTTCCAAACGATGCCTTGTCGAAAAGAAATCTAGTGAAGGATATACTTTGAAACTTTTCATTCGTCACTCTTTTTACACATCCATTGAATTTTTTTCACTCTTGCCCATCTCATCCTAACACTTGTCTTTACAGGAATATTATATTAATAAAGCACAGTACCAAACATAATATATTAGTAACAATTAATATATCGATAACAAAATAAAATAACGTAAAATATATCATTGAGACTATCAAATTCAATCTCCAACGAACCCCATCTTTAGTGTTTACCAATCACCACCTTTATAAATTCAAAACCTAGTTGGCCATTTCCCTTCGCTCCTCTCACCACCCCCTCCATTTGCCCATTTCTCAAATTAACCAAAGGTTTATCTCACCTGATCATTTATCCTAGCTAAAACTTTTTCATTATTGCATAAACTAGAAATTAAAACCAAGAAAATGACACAAATGGGACGTCAATGGTGGCAGAAAACCACCACCTCTACAACCACCGGAACCACGGCAGTAGGCACCATTTACGGCGGCGGTCGCACCACCAGAAGTTGTAGTTCAACATCATCAGAAAGTAATGCTGCAATGAGCTCATGTTGTGGGCTATCAAGATTAATGAGGAAGTTGAAGAGACATAGCAATAAAATGTTGAAAACAGCGGCAAGTACCAGTCGACAATCATCGTTCCAATGTCGGTATGATCCACTTAGTTATGCCTTGAACTTTGATACAAGTGGAACTGGAAGTTTATTGGATGAAGATTATTACAAGTTCTGTGCTTTTTCTTCAAGGTTTGTTGCTACCCCAAAAGCTGATCATCACTGCCAAATTAAAGTTTAATGGCTGCTGCTTCCCACTAATATAAAGATCTAGTGGAAAAAGAAAAAAGGAAACGTATGTACGTACCATTTTATCATATTATTTTATTTTAATTTGTTGGATGAAAAGATGAAAAAAATGTTGTATACGCCTTATTAGTTTGAGGATAAGAAATCCCAAGTTTTGGAGCAATAAAAAGGAAATGTCTTCAAGCTTTACTTTGTTTCTTATTCTTCTCTTTAACTTATATTTAACTACTCATCTTCTTTTTAGGTCAATCAGAATCGTCTTCATTTACCCAATAAAAAGAAAAAGAAAAGTAAAGCAATGGCTATATGCAGCATCATTTTCTTCTTCTTTTTTTTCTTTTAAGTTTTTTTTTCCTTTTCGGTTTTTGTGTTTAGACGAAAACAATCATCTATAAGCATCGGATTCTATTACTGAATAAAAGGTTTTACACAGTTAAGTTAAAATTACCTCAGGTAAATGTCTTGACTAAAATTTAATTTGTTGATCTAGAAAATAAAGTAAACGATATATGGTGCACGTAACAGGTTAAAATACACGATAGTGTCTGTATAAATTTAATCTAAAATGTAGTGGTGGTTTTTGTACTAATGACTGCAGTGGTAAACAAATATTGGTTAAAGCTTGCAAACCGCTCGAGCTAACAACGACTTCACACAGTATTCTCACAAGTGGGTCTGGGGAGGTTAATATGTACACAAGCGCATCCCTTGTTTCCCCGATACCCTCGGCTCGAAGTTCGGCCTCGATTTTTTTTCATGACAAACTTGCTTTATACTGTTAAATACCATAAAATTAGCTAAAGAACTTTTTAAATGACATTTTTGCTCATTTAGATTTCTGTGTTGGAGCGTGAGGGGTGGTGGGTGGGCTACAAATATTTATAAAAAGTGTGCATGCATGTTGGTTTGTACAATTTTCTGTGTGTGACAAAGAAAATGTTTGGTGAGCATGTGAAAGTGCCATGTGCCACCATTTCCAACAAATGTAAAATTAGAGTAAGTGTACTATGTTTCAAAGGACAGAATTCCGAGAACAATAGACCACCAAAAATGGTGTTAACAAAAAGGTTCCAGCATGGAAATAACACTATTTTTCATTTTCTGAATGGAGGGTGGTACTATCATATGATAGTTTAAGTTAATCTTGGAAGAATTACTCATATTGAAATTTCACCATTTCATACGAAGAATTACTCATATTGAAACTTATGTTTTGTACTTCAGTGAATATGTGCAATACAATTGCTTCTAAATAATAATGTTTGCGACTTAAGAAATATCATTAGTACAATTTTAAATTGTCACTACTCACTAGTAGTTAAATAAAACAGCCTTTGGGTTGTAAATCTAGATTTTATAATACGTTAATATGTGAACCGTGCGTATTGCTAAAACATGGTAAAATTTGTGCCTAAAAATATATCAGTACTATATTCCCTCTACCCTCCTGTCTTCAAAACAATCAAAACCACTAACTAGATATCAGATTTCACTATATTTCCACATAGCCACAACATCTCTACCTGCTAAATCAACAGTGATAAAGATAGGAGAATTGTATATTCCAGACACCACTTTGCATAAAATACATACAAGCAAAATTTGCTAACATGAGCCTCATTTTTGACACTTAGGAAGTCCTAAATCAAATGCTGAATCCAGCTCCCTAGGGTAGACAAGTCTTACAAGGTGAAAACCTTGCGACTCTAAGAACGACGACAACATTATATGCTAACTTCTACATTTTCTCTTCTCTTACACAAGCTTTACATAATAATTGGTCTAACCTGTACTGTATTTGCTACTTTAACTGAATCCTGCCCTACAAAAACTGAGAATAATGGAGGTTTAGAGACTTTCAGTTACACGGTGAGAGATGATTACAATTAACTCCCCATAGGAAAGAGCTATGGTTCACAGTCATCTGTCCGATGATCCGAGACTGTCCCTTCAGATGATATTTCCTCTACGTCTACCTGTCTAGCTCGAGCAGGATCTGACTGAGTTTTGCTAGAATCCCCACTATCAGTTTCAACTTCTTCTTTCTCCGCTTGAAATGGACCCCATGTACTAGGAGCTGAGACCTGATTTGTTTTCTGCTTTCCATGTGAATCTTGGGTGTCAGACGATGCAACCTTATCAACAGACTTACGGCGAGGGACCATATTTTCAAGTAAACATGAACTAGTAGCAATAGGTGGACCTGGTGCAACACAGGATGCAACCAATTGAAGCACTTCGGGTGAGGGAGACAATCCAGCACTCGTCTTTTTTAGGTGAAATGTATTAACTGAACTAGTTGAAGGGTTGGCATATAGACTTGGAGGAGGCATATGAAGGTTAGCTTCAACCGAAGGGAGTCCTGAGGTTCTGGCCATCATTCTAGAAAGCAAAGGGAATGATGGATCTTGTTGACCACTCATTCCAGCGATACCCTCACCATGTGAGCTACCCTGGACGTCACTAATTCCTGCAAAATCTTTCTGGAACTGCCTCATCACTTGCAGTCCGTGTTTCTTCTTCTTTTTCTTTTTCAAGCTCAACCGCGGGTCCCTGGGTCGAGATGGAGGTGGAGAAGGAATAACAAATGGAGGGAGGGAGGGCTTCTCCTCCCCATATAGCAAGCGAACTGATTGAGCAATTGCAGAGACAGTTGGTGGTAAATCGGGTTCAGGAGGTTTTGCTGGAGTATTCACTGCTTCACGAAGCCAATGTGGTAGCTTATTCTTCGGTGAACTACATTCTGCCACTTCCTTGCCCTTTGATTGAGAAACATTCTGACCTTTATTAAGTTCAGGAAGCGATGGAAGATTGCTGGATACACCAACTCCCCCATTGTTATGCGAATCATGTGAGATATTTGATGACCTGTCAAGAAGGTTAGGCAATTTAACAAATCTGCTTGCACCAATGTCATTCTCCTTTTTCAAGTCAAACCTATTCTGGCCACCCAAACCAAGAGGGCCCAAGCTACTGCTGCCCAACGAATTCAGCAGAAACGGCGACTCCATAAGAGAGCCTGAGGATGGCCCTGGTCTGTCAGAGGACCCCACATTAAAATCTCGAGAAATGTTCACACGATACTTGTCAGTGCTGGGAGTTGGAAGATGTGCGAAATGATTGTTATTCAGACCAAGTTGCTCAGGAGGTTCCAAATTTGGGAAGCTTGAAGACAGATCACCAAATCCCAATTTCATGTCTGTTAGGTGTGTTGGAAAGAGCTGCTCATTTAGTTTACAACCATGCAATGCTCGAGCCATCATTGCGTCGGAAATGCCTGAGAAGAAGCTTGATTTTCCCACTTTGGTAGGCTTGGATGGTTTAGGTGCAGGTAGTGGTGGCCCCTCCAAGATCTTGAGCTGCTCCTCTTCCCACCTAATTGACAAATCTTCAGGAGTTTTATACTTAGAAAATCTTAACTTGGGATCTCGTAGCATGGCATCCCAATGGCCCCTTCCATATCTACGTACACCAATCCAGAGATAATCCAGTTCATCTTCAGACCAAATGTCCAGTTTGTTTCTCCTTTTGAGTAGGTTGCCTGATCCTGATCCTGATCCTGACCCAGTTCTCAGCATAATGTTTTCAAGAACCTTCCTATGTTTTTCGGGAAATGATGATGACGACGCCATCTGCCCTAACCCCAGTACTGGAGGAATCTGTTGCTCTTGTGGGTTAAACCTAGATGATTCATGAGGTGGAAACTTGAGATTGGGCAAAATCGGTAGTACAGGATGCTCGTGGCTAGACTCATTCAAATCTGCAAATCTTGATCCCAAAGACAAGCTGGGAAACAAGTCAGAGGGTGGATGGGGCATGTTCATGGCAGGAAATGGGTATCTTGGTAAAAATGGCTCATCAAAAGATTTGGGCAATCCTGTCTTTGCTTGAATATCAGATAAAGTAGCACCAGAATTCTTGAAATTACCAGCAGAACCTCTTTCTGGCATAACAGATGGAGGATGCTGCAGAAAAGCCAACATTAGGAATTTACACAAGCATTATTTTACATTTTAATATGCATGAAAACATGTTAGACACACACAGAGAGAGAGAGAGAGAGAGAGAGAGAGAGAGAGAGAGAGAGAGAGAGAGAGAGCACACAGAGTGAATTAGACATTATTATCTCAATAATCTGATCTCCAATGTGTTACAATGAATTATTTATATAATCTAACTAATGAGCNGAATAGAAGATAAGAATCAGGTAAGCTACTCTTTGGAGGCTGTTGTGAAGGATCGAGGGGAAGATCTGGCAATTTGAATCTCCCGGAGAAGTTTTCCTGCCGTTTAGCAACCATTTCACTTGAAAGCTTAGAGCGAGGAGCAATATTTGGGAACTCCAGTCCCAATCCTTGTCTGTGTTGCCTGTTGTTTGACTTTGAAAAGTTCCTCTGTGGTGCCTCCACCTGATGAGCATTAGGAGCACATAGTCCCAGAACCGGTAAAAGGTGTTCGTTGGCCACTGAATTGATGCAGCTCATCTCTTGTGCATGATTACTTGACTGGGGAATGTCTGGAAGAGGATGACCACTTGTCTTAACTAGAACATCTATGTTATCGTTCAATTTATGTTTCAACTTTCCCAACCTTAAGGTTGAGTCAGCCATGTTTTTCTGTGCCTTCAATGATTTAAGAAAGCTATTGTTATCCAAGTTCATAGATGCATGTTTCTCTTCCCGGATTTGCAATGGTACATTTATTGGATTCACATCATGAGCTTGCTGAGGAAGGAGATGACAGAGAGACTCTTGTCCAGCCAGTCCTTCCATGGGGCCAGACGCTTCAATTGCATTTCTCCGGGCCAGCCGTTCTTTTTGCCTAGCGCGAAGCTTAGCACTGCTCCAAAGCAACAAAAGCAATCACATAAATATTATCTTTCAAAGTTCATAATTTACAGATATAGCCAAGTTTTTCATATAATCCTGCCACAAAGAAGTGAAATTCCGATATCGTGCATGCTACTTTTTTCCCCACTGAGTCATAAAGAAAATGTTTAATATTCAGAAGATGGTAAATAGAACCATCTCAATACACTAAAGCAAATCCGTAATCATTTAGATGCTGATAAGAGCCCAAAGAGTATAACTCACTATTTTGCCTTCAATGCTCGTCCTGCCGCACTGTATTCTCGCTCTGGTTCAGGCTCAGGCTCCTGCTCCTCTTCCGCACCACTCTGTAATTTCAGTTATTGGACAAAATTAGTGATCTAAAACGATGTCTTAATGAGACAACTACAGAGCGACTCCCTCCTAGGGAACAATCATCCATATTAAATTAATTATTCTTCAAAAGAACAAACTATATGCTTGTGGAATCACAATACTGTAATTGGTAGTTGACGTCGAAATTTTAGAGATTGAAGACACTGATTCTGAACAATTTTGAGGGGATGGATTGAAGAATTTATCTAAACAAAAGATAAAGGTTCAGATTATAAAAGTCTGCATTCCCCAAGTTATCACTTTACTGCTCTAAACATGAAATACAAATTTACAATATGGAAGTACCTCATTTAATGTTTCACTGGGGGGTAAAGCATATGCTTCCCTGTAAGAAACAGCTTTCCTTAGACGCTTGCCTCGACCAAGAGCTGCTTCCTCCTCGCTCTGATATTTCTCCCATCTACAAGCACAAGAACGTGATGAAAGTGTCCAAAAGCCACAATGAAGTATACCACTTCAAAGGTAATCATTTAACATGGTTTTGAAAACTTGCATTCTTAAGTACTAAAGTTTCTCTTCATTTTGTTCACCAATCAATCAAGTGACTCCTGGGCATGAATCACTGATCCATCAAAAGCAGCAATCATGTTACTGACAGATTTTTGTCAAATTACCAAATATTTTCGTCTCCTTGAGCCCAGCATCCATTTCCTGTATAAAAGCACCACTACTGTCTTTCAAGCGTTGAGAACGCAGCAAAGCTTTCTGGTACTACATCAAGCTTCTAAACTGTTCCAAGCATGTGCAGTTTAAAAACTTACATAAACCAAGATAGAAAAACTCTAATACTTCTTCCTGTGCTTTGCTCATTATTTCTTTCTCTCCGAGAAGAATCGACGGCCAAAACAAAAGGGGAAAAAGACACCAAGACAAGTGAAAACTAACTTGAAACAACCTCTGGAAGGTATAGAAAATGATTGTAAACGTTTTACCCATGGTTGCAACAATGCTACACCAGTAACACATCCATTGTTTCAAATACAAACACACTGGTTTCTCTTCTACATTGTCTATTGGAAGCCAGTACTAGTGAATCCTACAAGAGTTGAATCCTGTACTTGTCTTGTGACTGCCTGTGCCACCATTGTTTCAAATCTGTAATATCTTCCAATGAACATGCAAAGTGGATCCTACAAGACAAAGCAACCTTTTGTGCTTCTACAATGTGGAAAAACAGCATAACATTCAATAGCATGTGGAGCATTAGTGTCATAGATAGGCGGGAGATTGTCATCAGTCTACCTTGACCAGCTTCCTCTAATAAGAGTACAGTATCACTTGTAATAAGTGCACTAGAGAACAACCGGAAGGTTTTACATGGCATCGGTTTTACATGGCATCGCAGAATTTGAAGAAACTTTCAAGAAAATGTATTTTATGCAGATTTAGAAGATTGTGATGGAGGGTTTCTGCAGAACCAAATCTGTGGCTCACTATCATCACATGCCTTAAAAACAATGCCCAAAATCAAGCGCTAGTAGAGAAACTGAAAGAGTTGGTGGAAGTGATTGGCCTTGGTAACAAGGACTGAGCTTTGTGAACAAGAAACATAGAGAGCAACCTCAAGAAAAGTCATTGTAATTATTCTTTTTAATCTGCTAAGGTAGTAATTGAAGTAGTCAAAGAGCTTCCTTTCATTAATTACAAGAAAATAGAGCTAGCTCACCGAAAACAATTTTGCAAGAATATAACTATCAATGTTTTTTGTTTTGCAAGAATATCTTTGGCATAAGAAAGTGAAGCATTCATTAAAAATCCATTCACTGTATGATGAGTTCTTTTATTTGGACAACTTGTTAGACGTGTTGTCATAGTTACTTAATGCAAAGGAAACACACAAATATAAGTATATAACAACAACAACGCCTCAATCTCAAACAAGTAGGGGTAAGCTTATGAAAAGACTCCTAGCAAATATTGGACCTAGACTAATTGTAATAAAATGATCTAAGACGCAATCTCAACTTAGTACCACCTATATAGATCTTTTCTTTACATTGTGCCCTATTTTTTTTGCTAGGTTTGCCTGGATTCCAAGAAATTGTAGGTCTTTCGAGATAATTCCTTAAACACATAAATAGAAGACAAATCCAAAACACTATTTTTTTCAACCTTCAAGAAATTCATATATAAACTATGTTAGACATTTAATTGTTGATACTTGCGCACACCCGCATAGAATAGATATGCATAGCTGAGTCCATATAGCATAGTATACTATCAAACAAATACAAATAAGGTAGCAAGAACAATACCTCACTCTTAGAAGCTTGTCCCACTCATTTTCTTCAGTGCTACCAACCATGTTATCCTCTTTCTTCTCTACATTTTGTACACAAGTGTCTTCACTCACCACCATATGTGATGCTATTCCAACTTGCTCTTCTGCACCTTCCTCGTTCCATTCCAATGACTAACAAAAGAGACGAAAGAAAACACAACAGGCACAAAGAAAGATTCAGAAAGACATTGGAACGATCCTATAATGATTGCTGTTCCAAAGAACTAGCACAAGAATTTCCAAAGAAGCAAAAATTACTTCTTTATTGAATCAGAAAGCAGAAAGAAATACCTTAGAATTTTTTTTGTAAATAGCATGTCATGTTAAAGACAAATAGAATCTTAAATATTTTTGTAAATAGCATGTCATGTTAAAGACAACTAGAATCATAACTGTGTAACTATAGAATACTAACAGGCACAAGAGAGTGGTTAAATAAAGAGAAAAGCTTTAAATTCACGAGCATGGACGGCCAAAAAAAAAACTCATTTTACAAAGATACAGAACCATAATAAATGGAATGTGTGACAGTCATTACATGCCATAACAGACCAAAAACTAACCACATCGCCATAAATATCCAACCTAATACATAAGAAACATAACAAATTTCATTTCCATGCAGAGCTCTGTTAGAACATTTAAAGTTAGTAAAGTGATTCTACATCTTTTTTAGCATGTATATCCATCCAGTGAAAATTCACAGTAGCCCATTCAAATCAAAACATATTTTAATATTAATACAGCTAAAGCATACACCACTTTAATAGCTTTTTTTAGAATTAGGATATACCCACTTTAATAAATTTATCGTTACTTAGAATCAATCGTACCTTATGTGCTATAGCAGTCTTCATCTTCAAGGATAAACAGAACAAATGAAGAAACTTTTCGCTTGTAAACAATGTAGAAAGAGTTCTGAAACACATTTTAATTTAGGGGAACTAAAGTTCCTATAAATTCAGCATGTTTTCCCTAGTAGGTTGAATCAGAGAAAACTTCTGGAGCATTTAAATTTTAAACAACTCAACAGGCCAAAGGCCAACTTATGGAGTTAGAACACAAACTCTAAGTTTTCTTTCACATCAGAAAAAATGAAAGCTACAAAACCCACAATGAATACAAAGACTGTTTCAGAGATGACAAATTACCTGCTGGAAGTTTCCAGAGAAACTTTTCTACTTAAGATTGGCAGGAAAAGTTATAATTCAGATTAAGTTGACATTGCTAAGTTTTACACGCCAACTGTAGTTTGGTCATTTAATAGCTTTCAGCAATAACAGCACAAAATCTAGTTATGGGTCTTTAGATAAACAATTTAAAATTTTCCTAGTATATCTGAAATACGTATTTTGGAAATCAAGAGCTAGTTTCCTTGGAGGCTTTAAGTCCGTAAGATACAGTTGCATCGAAACTTTTGTCAAATGGATTTCTTGCAGAATTATGCTATGGCATTTATGTTTTTTCACTTTCTCAAATCTGTTTCAACTCTCTTTAATTCATGCTTCTTATTTTTCAAATAAGTTCAATTCCTACTGCTGTTACTATGATGAACCGAAGTAACAACAACAACAACAACAACCCAGTATAATCCCACTAGTGGGGTCTGGGGAGGGTAGTGTGTACGCAGACCTTACCCTTACCCTGGGGTAGAGAGGCTGTTTCCAATAGACCCTCGGCATCCTTTCCTCCAAGAACTCCCTACCTTGCTCTTGGGGTGACTCGAACTCACAACCTCTTGGTTGGAAGTGGAGGGTGCTTACCATCAGAGCAACCCACCTTGTCAATGATGAACCGAAGTAATAAGTCAAATATGACTAAAACCCTAAATTGTAATCATGGACCCTCATGATTGCTCAGTTTACAATTTCCAACTGTCCTTAGGTGCCCACTATCTTTCCTCCCAGTTTGAGCTACAAATCAGACCCTAATATTCAATCTTCCACTTCTGAATAATAGAGTTGGAAAAGTCTCACTTGTCTGGCATCATTTAAGAAATATGCATTTTTGATAAGCCGTTTAAAGTTTAACAGAACTGTGGAAGAGCTGTGGTTACCTTCACTGAACCAAGCATATCATTCTCCAGTTCTGCCTCATTGTTATCAGCTGAATCTGACTGAAGATTTGTACGGTCAAGCAATTTTGAAATGGCATTTTCATCCCAAACAATCTTAGTGCTGCCTTTCGTACACTTATCTTTATACACATCACCCAGGCTACCAGTCCTCCTGCGCTTATGCTCTACTTCAGGAACTGTTTCATCTTCAACAGCATCGTTTTCTGACATGCTAGAGGAATCAATGAAAAGTTCTTCTGTTCCCCATCGAAGGATATCTTCAACCTCCTTTTGGGATCCTGATTTGTTCACAAAAAGCTGATCAAGCATCAACTTCTTCTTGGCAAGCTGAAGTATCCGTTCTTCAACACTGGCACGAACTACTAGCCTGTACACTAGAAGTCTCTTTGACTGTCCAATACGGTGAGCCCGATTCATCGCCTGGATATCTGCATGTGGATTGAAGTCAGAATCATAGATAATAACAGTATCCGCAGTAGCCAAATTGATCCCCAGGCCACAAGAGCGTGTTGATAATAAGAATACAAATCGACTTTTGTCCTGATTAAACCGCGCTATTGCTGCTTGACGATCAGCCACAGCAACAGAACCATCAACTCTCTCATATGTTTTTGGCCCAAACTCAATTGCCAAGTAATCCTCCAGAATATCTAGAAGCTTCGTCATCTGTGAAAATATGAGGACTCTGTGACCTTCTTTATGCAAACTTTTGAGCATAGAGTGCAGAAGAGTCAGCTTTCCAGAAGCCTTTATCCTCATTTCATGAAGAAATTCTAGTGACCCAGATTCAGGCTCAGTTCCTGGTATGAGATACGGGTGGTTGCAAACTTTTCTTAACTGCATAACAATATTCAGCATCGATTGTTGTGCAACTCCTTTCCCAATGTTGCGAAGAAGCTGATAGTTCTTTGTAAGCATTGCACGGTAATATTCTGCCTGAATAGAAGATAACTCAACAGGAACCATTCTTTCAGTTTTAGGAGGAATATTTTGCATAGCATCCTTTTTCAGCCTGCGAAGCATGTGCGGAGCAACAAGCTTCTTCAATTCTTCCACCTTTTCTGCTGTTGTAAGATCATTAAACTTCTCTTCGAATGACGATAGTGAAGGAAATGAAGATGGCTGCAAAAAATTTAATAAGTTGTACATCTCGCCAATGTTGTTCTGAAGAGGAGTACCAGTCAATAGCACTCGATGCTGGAACGAGAATGTGTTGAGCATGCTAAAGAGCTTACTACTAGCATTTTTAAGACGGTGTCCCTCATCAACCACAAGAACTTCCCAGGGAATCCCACGCAGAAAAGGGGAATCAACGAGAACCATTTCATAAGTAGTCAAAAGAACATTAAATTTGTACGACGCCGACTTCTTACTCAGATTACTTCGATCACTTGCATGCCATTCAAATTGGCGAATCACAGCTCTTGCTTTAGCACTCCCGTGGTATTCTACAACATTTAGGTGTGGAGCCCATAACTGAAACTCTGCCATCCAGTTTGGCATTGTGGATAGAGGAACCAAAACTAAAGAGGGAAGCGCAGCATTGAACTCAGTATACAATGATGATAAGAAAGCAGAAGCTGATACTGTCTTCCCAAGCCCCATCTCGTCAGCAAGAATAACATTTTTGGATTTATGCCAGCATTTGCGCAACCAATTTAAGGCTTCCATTTGATGTGGAAATAATGCGCCTCCTTGCAGTTCTTTAGGCTGCTCTGTCAGAGTGACTATATCATTCTGATGGAATTCTCTCCTTTTGCTCACTACATCATCCTTGGTAGCATTTCTAGTCGATGCTTGGGATTCAAACTGATTGAATTGATCAATCAAATGAGATGATTTTGCAATCACAGGTTCCTCTATTTTTTCCCAGGTACATTCATCATAAGGAAGGCCAGTCCATCTCACAAAAACTTCAGCTGAACCAGCTGTACCAGGTCGAGTTGCAATTATCCGCTGAGGCATCTTCCACCTTTCGTCACAAATATTTATTGTTGTTGTCCCATACTTTGCCTTGTAGTTGTCCAGTTTTCTTTTTGCCAGAACTTTCAGTTTAGATTCAGGGACCCAAGAGTTATGAATATGTGATTTTCCAACCCACTTAACAAGATACTCATAGAAGACATTTACACCAGTAGAGGGTGGCAGCTTACCCAAGACAGTCTCCTTACTTCCCTTCAAAGAGCTGGTATCTGTAGTAATCATTTCATCTATCCCCTTGCCATTTCCAACTTCATGAATCCCAGATGTGACATTATCCTTCGAGTTGGCACGGCCATTATAGTTCTTCTCAGTGGAGTCACTGCTTTCTCCAGAAGTATTCTGCATATTAGCCAGGTCATCAGCATTCACAGCAGTGTCTTCTTCATTTGTGTTGATTGCACCTTCAGATACTGAACCTTGAGGGTCTTCTTTCAATGTGCCAGTTCCTTCTTTGCATTCTTTGCTACCCGATCTTCTGTACACTTGAATTTTATTCTTTCTGATATCATCCTTTGAGCTCCTTACTTCATCAGTAATGTCCAAAATTTCCCGAGAGCCACTGCCCGAATACTGTATACTTTCCTCAACTACGGGCACATCACAGCTAGGTTTTCCATCATTTACTTTCTCTCTATCTGCTAAACTTGCTGAATCTTCCAATGGAGGGTCATTTGCATTTGCTCCGGTGATATCATGAGAACAACTATTACTATCAGCTTGTACTCGACACGCCAGAACCCTATCAACCTGCAATTAAGCATGCGTCAGAAGTAGGAAAACAGTTTATCATCAATAATCTCGGTTTTCCAGCCCTTATAGCAGGAAGTTCCAATAATTACATCAAAGAGTGACAAAAGGAGCAGAAGATCCTTATTAAAAATTGATAATAAACCTATAAGTCAGTGCTTGGAACTAGTACCTGTTGAAGATCGAGATCATTATTATCATATATCAATGATTCACTAGCAACTTTTCCTTTTTCACGAGACAGATCTGATGGCTGAGCAGCCTCTTCAGAAACCAACTGCATTAGCCAAAAAGGAAAAAAAGAATCAACAAAAGAAAAACTATGAAGTTAGTTTTGCATATTATAATAACAGTTAAAGCAAAAAGAAAAATAGACATCTCAGAAAATTCTCGTTTCCTTTCCTTCTCTTTTTTGCTTTTCTTTTTTTGGCTTTTTACTTTAATTCGTAAAACATGTTAATCCACACCCTTCAAACAAAACTGTTATTATTAGGAAAGAATCCAAAAAGAAACTACGAAGCTCCACTATTTCTTTTTATTTTTCTGCTTTTTCAATTCTTTTATGGGTAAGCACTCTCCATTAAACTCAAAAAGAAGCAAGAACTAGGAGTACTCTATTGAAGAAGTCAAGGACCGCTGCTGATAATCCCACAAGTACAGGGACGCCGTAATTCTTCCATCAGGTTATTACTATTCCCTTTTTGAAAAAGTTCTTTCTTCTAAGATAGAAATTTAATCACATGCAAAAGTGGACATGCACATTTACACATAATAGAAACAACATCAGAATAAGCAAATAATTGTCCCACATGTAAAAGAAATAAATAAAGCAAAATAGTCTGGAACTGAAAACATCCCACACTAAAAAAAAACATTTTTTTTAATAAGTTAAGAAGTTTTGAGAATTTATTTTGGGGTCATTATCATTCCACTAAACCCTAGAAAAGCCACGAAAATTCCAACTTTTGTAACCCAGAACCTTGATTTTTGTAACCCAAAACCAGCTTACCCACAATAGAAAAATTGTTTCTGCTTTTCTAATTTAAGAGAAGTGCTACATCACAGTATATGCTAATGTCCACACATCAATTTCTCTTCTTTATCGTGAGAGTTCTCTTCTAGAAGAATAACACTAGACGATACCACCTCATCTATTATCCATCTATCAAGCTTGAATCCCAAGAAAACATTTATTCAAAATCTGGACGATCATCTTAGGAAGTAGAACCCACATTTTCTCCAAAAAAATGAATTCATTCCTCACTTGACTTTCTTGGCCCCTCACACACTAGCTAACTTGTTCAGAAACCCTTTAATAGAGTTGTTCATCCTGAAAAGAGGAAAACTATTGCTGTGCCATGCAAACGTACATGGGATATAGTTAATTGATTAAGTGCTGAGGAGGGCTTTATGAGTTTTTACCAAGTTCAGCATCTACTCCATTATCAAGTTCACCACCTTGAATACCTTTACAGTAATGCCTTAATGGGCCATTATTCCCTTCCCTCTCAAATTTGACAACTATACCGCAAATCTTATGATCTTGATTACGAGCTAAACCATTTTCTTATTTTGCGCTAAACATAAAAATCACATCCAAGGTCTTCCTAACCCAAGCAATAAATTGTTTTAACAGAAACATCATGAACATGGTGTAGAATCGAACTCGTCTCCTCAAGAAGCACACATCCTTATGGAACTACTATTATCCTTACCAGCCAGTTAACGAGTGAATTGTGACAAAAAATGAACTGAAGCCTAGAGTAGTACTCCACACTGCCTATAATACCCATCCCACAAAAGACCTCTAACATAGAGAGAAAGACGCCATCAAAACTATGTTTCTCTATTTTTTGAGAAGGAAAAACTATGTTTCTCTATTGATGATGGGAAAGCCTGTATACAAGCCCTATACTAAAAAAAAGATTGAACCTAACACCAAAGAATGGTTCTCAAAGATCCTCTAACTAAGACAGCACATATCTTTTGTTAAAAATAGATGTCTTCAAAATTTATATTTTTGGTGTAGGAACAACATGATAGAAAATGTCCCAGTATATTAATTCTTTGCAGCTTCTGAGGATGAATTAGCGCCAGCAATCAGCAGTACTGTAACTTTTGCTTGTTGTTTTGCAGTACCTCCTTGGTACTTCATTAATGGAATTTCTTATCTTATAAAAAGAAGGTAAATAAGTCAAAAAGAAGGTATCTAACTTAGAGAGAAGAGAAGTTAGAAAAAGTCAAAACTATGTCTCTCTCTTTTTTGGGATAAAGTAAATAAATTTATTGATGATGGAAACTCAGTATAATACCCCCAAAAAAAGGAGTAGAGAACCTACAGAAAAACGGTTCTCTACAAGAGAAAACCTATCTTGTATACAAGTAGGAATTTTCCATAAAAGGTCCGAAGAGAAATACAGCCATGAAATTTTTGCCAGTCTTGCATCAACTCAAATAAGTAGTAAACAGGAAGTATAAGGAACCCCAAAAAACAACCTCCAACCTTGTGATTCTACTCGTCCTTGCCATCATGCACACTTCCTATAATTTCAAAGAAGCCTACTTCTATTATCTACCCTTATATCTTGAAGGTTTGAGCATGCTCCTAATCAGACAGCTTCCTATAGCTGTCTCAGTTAAATCCCCTTCAGAGCTTTACTAAACTGATGGCAATCTCTGTCAAAGAACGTATACTATCAGATTAACTATTATCAATTAACTAGGCATGATGGTCAACATTAAGGTTCGATCCCTCTTTGGTAATAATTCTGCATGCTCCACAACGTTGAAGGCCTTAATACTTAACTACAGTCTCCTCTCTTGAAAGTAGGTTATCACAATATTTCAGCATTCATATCTTAGTTTAAAAGGATAAAATAGACTGAGGGCATTCCCATTATTGCATGCCTGTTTTCTTTTTCTTTTTTATCAGTCTTATTGCATGCCAGTTTCGAGACATAGAAAAAGCAACAATAAAACCTATCGAGCAAAACCTGATGAAGAGGCTTCAGTCCATGTAATAGCTGTCACTTGAGCAACTTTAACGCGGAGGACGTCAGATACTTGTTCTTAATTTGCATTATTACCAGAAGTCTATGGGACATGTTCCGAAACATTTTTGGGTTACAGTGGATTATGCTACTTAGCATGACGGATGCCTTAATCAGTTGGTGCAGTTGGAAGGTGCAAAATCAAGAAGAAATACGTGGCAAGCCATTCCTAGTTGTATATAGAGAGGGGATGGAATCTGAGATGTCTTGAAGGAACCTCAGATTCTATTCCATCCCTAAAAGTTAGATGTCTTATTAATTTGAGTAGTTGATATTATTGTAGTAAAGCACCTGATGCAAATCAACTTTCAGAATTCATAGGTTCCTTGAGTTTAGTATAGGAACCAAGCATCATATTTTTTGTAATACTGCATCTTCTGGATGCCTTCAATAGTTCAATTAATAAAATATCATACCTTTTTTTTAAAAGTGAAGTCTATTGAGCAAAAACTATTCAAATTTGAGAAAGAATACTTAACAGAGGGATTGTACCTCATCTTTAAGCTGGACTTCAACCATATCTCTCCCATCCCTTTTTGACGGAGCCACTGAAGGCTGATGATCAAAACGCTTACGTTTTTTCTGCAATTTACTTGACTTTGAACCTGACTTTCTAGAATTATCAGCAGCTCGCTTTCCCTTGTCAGTCCTAGATTTGCTCTGGCTGTCAATGTTGTAAAAATTAGGTTTTCTTTTCCTGTCTTTCCTAGAAGCAGCCTCCGACATAGCTACAGGTTCATCACCTGGAGATCTATCACTAGAAGGTAAGTCAGGCTTCTTTTCAGAGGCTTTTTCATTTTTCTTTGAATCTGATAAATTTAAAAAGGGTGTCGCTTCATTCATGGAAGAGCTCGACTTCTCCAATGGAGTATCTGCAGAAGGCGCCTCTTTCTCAACTGGAGTATCTGCAGAAGGCACCTCTTTCTCAACTGGTGTATCAGAAGAAGGCACTTCCTTCTCAACTGGAGTATCTGCAGCAGGAGGCACCTCCTTTTCATTATCAACACCTGCGTACGATGACTTATCATCCGCAGCACCATGCTGGGAATGATGACTTGATTTAATATCACAAGAAACATCATTGGGGGAAGTACCCAGCTTCTCCATTGGGTTGCGATGTGATAAAGGTGTTTTTTCTCTTGCCGAGGATCTTCTCTTACCAGGAATGGAGCTTTCAAATATTAGGGATACCTTGGAGATTCCAGATGATCTATTTTCATTTTTTGCTTTTCCACCTGTAACCTTCGTTCTTGCTCGTTTGGCAACAGTATCTAGGTGATTAACAGACTCAAGGGGATCCTTCTTCTGATAACAACTAGGACATTCCCACTTTCCGGTCGGTATACGCTGTATAGATACAAAAATTTATCAGCAACAAAAATAAAGTGGATGGGATAAAATGAAAAGGAAAACTCAAATTAATACATGAAAGATTTAAAAGAAAAAAGTAAATCTGCCTTTAAATAAAGTAACTACCAAATATACCTTTAGAGGAGGATCCAGACACTGAAGATGGTAGGTTCGCGGACAGCTTTCACAACAAAGCAAATTTCCACCAAGATCACAAACAACACATTCATAATAGTACTGGATGAGAGCAAAAGAAAACAAGAGTCAGAAGCAGTTTGAAAATGCAAATGTATAGAAAGCGATAAAAAGCCCAGTTGGAAAATACTTAAATCACACTGCAAGGCAATAAATTCTCAAATAGCACTATATATTTTGGCCTTACTGTCCTGGCAAGACGATAGCAAAGCTAACAGCGAGAGATTAAAGGTAACATACTCGTAAAGAATGAACAAAAAAATGAGGACAAAAAAAACTTTAAGAATAGTAAGCTAAAGAAGCATGTTGATATCTTGATCAAGAAGTAAGTTTCATTGGAAATTTTCTTCCTGAACTACAGCTCAAGTCTTGTTTGCCATGTACTGTCGCAACCATAAATTGAAAAAGAAATTAAGTAGATCATAAAGAACATACTAACCCCATCATTTCCTTTCTTCTTGCTAGAAGAAGAACGACTTGAAGTGATTTCACTCTTCACTCGACTTTTGGATGAGTTACTTGACGATAAATCCAAGGGTTTTGAAGCCTTTTCTTTGCCATTCGATGTGTCAGGTCCAGATGGTAGTTTCCGACGCTTGCGTTTTAAGACCCAGTCTCCGTTAAGCATTTTACTGGACAGTGAACCGTTTTCTTTCATCATTGCAAACGGGGTTGTACATCTCAAGCCAGCAACAACAGGGGAATATCATGACCTCCAGGCATCAAATGTGATCACATATTCCTGCAAGGTTTGTTGCTAAGAGCATTAGATCATAAACCTCAAGAACAAAAATAGAACACCTTTCAGAAACAAAGGTAAAGAAGGAAGATTCGAGCATACTGCATGAACCGAAAACATAGTAGGCTATTCAAATAGGCAAAAGAATTAGTACATTTTAGTCTACATTTCAACAAAGCTCCCTAGACATTGATCTCGCTTCTATTTTGTCCCTTCTTCTATTTTTCTTTCAAGAGGACTTCTTCGACGCTCTTAACACTATAAAAGAAATGGAGAAAGCCACTTTTATAGGATGAACATACCATAATGTGCTGGAGCTTTCTAAAACATGCATTCACATAGATGTCAACTTAGTTAACTGATTAACTACTTCATTCGCTGAAAAAGTAAATCAGACACTGTTTTAGTTGCAAATAATCATTTATTACGTACATGGTACTAGCTTGTGAAGACCTAGCATAATTAATGTGTACGAAAGAAGAAAGAGGGTGCAAAGCGGAATGCTGCAATTATATCCATAAAACTCATCTAAATTAATGTGTAAGAAAGAAGAAAGCTCCCTCGAAATTAAATGGTGGAAAGAACACAAGAAATAAAATCATTGAGAGCACTAAACATGGACTGACTTTGCAGAGACAAGTACTGACCTAATAATTTCTAGAAAATCACTACAATTAACCTTTGAATGAAGTTAGCAGCCTAAAGTAGATAATTGGCTAATCTAAAATGAACATCAGGACTAAGTCTGCAGTAAGGTACGCTATTAATGTAGTAGGACATGTTCAGCAAAAAAATTGCATCCAAATAGACAGATATGAATACACTATGTTGACTAATATAACGTAAAGCAACGCATATCTTTCAGAAGCTTTCCGAACTAGGTTACGGGAAACGGGAAATTAGACCATGTGCTGATTATAGATATATGGGAAAGGATTTAAACCAAGCCCTCAAACGGAATCTGATTACAAAGGCTTATGCCATAGTAGGACAGATTACGAGAGACGGGAAATTAGACGATCTGCTGAATATATATGTGTGAAAAGGATTTAAACCAAGCCCTCAAACAGAATCTGATTACAAAGGCTTATTCCAAAGTAAGACAGGTTACGAGATACGGAAAATTAGACGATATGCTGAATATATATGTGTGGGAAGTATTTAAAGCCCTCAAACGGAATCTGATTACAAAGGCTTATGTCAAAGTAAGACAAGTTGCGAGATACGGAAAATTAGACCATGTGCTTCACTTCCAACTACGACCTACGCATTTCATTCATATCAAAGCTATTGACGTAAAAAAATTAATATACTAAAACTTAAGTCAAAATTCAACCAGTTAAGGAAAACAGCATAATTGCTATCAAGGAATCCTTAATTTTTATTTCAATAGACCTTTTAATCAAGTTGAAACTAGCCATACAAATGCTCATAGTCACTCGACTAACTAAAGCCATTTGGAATAATTAAAGCAATAAGGATTACATTTTCCTCTCTATCAATTCAGCAGAACAAGCCCTTAATCAATGTGCTATAGTAAAAAACCATCACATGCATGCACAGCTGAATTGAACTAACAATGATCACAACCTAAGCACCACAGACATTCATCTCTTTGCAAAACCCCTCAAACCATTTCATTTAGCAACGAAAAAACACACTCTAAATCACCAAACATCAAAACTACAGCAAAATTGAAGCTAAAAACACACAACATTTCCCACCAATCAAGCAACACCCACATCAAAATGAACAGCAGAAGCACACAAGAATCAGCTCAAATTACATATAAAACACAAAAACAAGCAACCCCAAATAAAGAATGAGAACAACCCAGATAAAGATTAGCACATACCAATCTTTTCTATGGATCAAAAACTCATAAAAATTCAATCTTTATATATAGGGAGCTGAATCAAGAACCACAAGTAAAAGGGGCAAAGGGGGAGTAGCCCAATTTAGGGTATGAGGGAATACAAGAACGAGAGAAAAGAGAGAGAAAGCGGTAGAAGGCAGACAAAAGATATAAATAGAGCGTGAAAGCGANGCATTCAAGATAATACTACTATTATTATATCTCTTTCTAGATACGTATAAAGTTACTTCCTTTTTCTCTCTCTATATTTCTTTTCTAAGATTTTCTTTTTTTTCCCCACTATAGCCGCCATCAATTCTTCTGTAAGGCATTTGATGAAAGTGTTTTTGTTTCTGCAGCCTTTTATTACTTTTCCTGTTTCTAGTTTCTTTATTTATTTTTTTGGAAATAATTTAAAATATATATCTCCTGAGTAGTTCTCGTGATACTTTCTTACCTTTTATATATAGATAAGATATAGTTATAGAATGAAAGTTACATATTATTAGAGGAGCAATGTAGATAGATCTTTTTGTTAATCTATGATAGATGTTATTTATAGAAAATAAATATTGGTTTGAAAGTGACTGCATACTGCACAGTTGTTCTCTCTACAATTTGGGGCTTTTTTGGATTATGATTTTTTAACCAAAATAAAAAAGGAAAAAATTACGTTTTTCTGTTTTTAAGTAATTTATCAAAATTCTTGAAATTGTTCATTTGGAGGTTTTCGATAATGTCTTAAAGTGAACAAATAAAGTTATTTGAATTAGACAACTAATATTCTTATCTAAAACAATAACAATAAATCCAGTATAATCTCACGAGTGTGGTCTGAGGAGGATAGTGTGTGCGCAGAACTTACCCCTAAATTCAAAATTGATTAGGTGGGCGTTTGGACATAAGAATTGTAAAATTCCAAAATACGGGGAAAAAAAATTTCAAGTGAAAATGGTATTTGAAATTTAGAGTTGTGTTTGGGCATGAATATAATTTTGGGTTGTTTTTGAAGTTTTGTGAGTGATTTGAGTAAAAAAATTTAAAAACAGTTTTTTGGAGTTTTTCAAATTTTCGAAAATTTTTAAAATGCATATTCAAGTGAAAATTAAAAATTTTATTAACAAACGCTAATTTCGGAAAAAAAGTGAAATTTTTTTGAAAAAAATAAAAAAATTTCTCACGTCCAAACGAGCTCTAGAAGTTAATGAGTTAAATTTGTTATAAGGATCAAATGAACTGTTTGGTCAACTTCTTAAAATCATATTTCCTTTTATTCCCTTTTTTCTACAAAATTTATGATACAAATTTGGGAAAAAATGTATGGTCATACTAGTGAAATACAATAGCATTCGCTTATGAATTACGATGTAGTTAATTAAAAAGAATAAAAATTATATATATAAGGAAAATAAAAATTGTTTATATTACTCAATATATAGTAGTTCACCGTAATGTATCTTGATCATGTATAAATCATTATTATTAACACATAAGTAACAAAAACAAATGTAAAAATCTGAAACAATGCATAGTTAGTTTTTAATGAAGTTCCCTTGTAGGCATAATTACTAATGGTAGTAAATGTTTAAAGCTATCAAGTGAACATAAGAATTATGATTACTTCTCATTAATTTTTTTCTTATCATGCACAAATTAGTCAACATAATTAACACATAAGTAACAAAAACAAATGTAAAAATCTGAAACAATGCATAGTTAGTTTTTAATGAAGTTCCCTTGTAGGCATAATTACTAATGGTAGTAAATGTTTAAAGCTATCAAGTGAACATAAGAATTATGATTACTTCTCATTAATTTTTTTCTTATCATGCACAAATTAGTCAACATAATTAACACATAAGTAACAAAAACAAATGTAAAAATCTGAAACAATGCATAGTTAGTTTTTAATGAAGTTCCCTTGTAGGCATAATTACTAATGGTAGTAAATGTTTAAAGCTATCAAGTGAACATAAGAATTATGATTACTTCTCATTAATTTTTTTCTTATCATGCACAAATTAGTCAACATAATTAACACATAAGTAACAAAAACAAATGTAAAAATCTGAAACAATGCATAGTTAGTTTTTAATGAAGTTCCCTTGTAGGCATAATTACTAATGGTAGTAAATGTTTAAAGCTATCAAGTGAACATAAGAATTATGATTACTTCTCATTAATTTTTTTCTTATCATGCACAAATTAGTCAACATAAAAGGAAAAAAAACTCGTTGATCTAATGTAACGACCCGACTTGTCATTTTAAGAATTAACGCCCCGTTCAGCGACTTAAGGTCTCGAGCAGCTTCGCAATATGTATTACGACCCGCGGGTGTGGTCGAGTTTGATCTACTGAAGATTCGAAATTAAATTAAAAGAGAAATTCTTAATTAGAAGTTTAAATGGAAAGAGTTGGCATGAGAGTTGACTTTTGAGCAAACGACTCCGGAATGGAATTTTGATGATGTCAATAGCTCCGTATGGTATTTTGGACTTAGGAGCGTGTCCGAAAAATTATTTGGAGGTCTGTAGAGGATTTGGCCTCAAATGGCGAAAGATGAATTTTTGGGAAGTTTGGCCGGGAGGTTGACTTTTTGATATCGAGGTCGAAATCCGATTCTGAAAATTTGAATACCTCTGTTATGTCAATTATTACTTGTGTGCAAAATTTGAAGTCATTCCGGATTGATTTGATGTATTTCGGCACAAGATATAGAATTTGAAAGTTCAAAGTTCATAAATCTTGATTTGAGGAGCGATTTGTCGCTTTGATGTTGTTTGAGAATTCAACTAAGTTCGTATGATGTTTTAGGACTTGTTGATGTATTTGGTTGAGGTCCCCCGGGCATCGGGGGTGTTCCGGATTGTTAACGGATTAGAATCGGGCTTTGTGTTATAGCTGAAGCATCAGATTCTGCTGGTGCTAGTTTCCTTATACGCGTTCGCGTAGAGGAAGTTTGAGTGCTGCTGAAATTTGGCCTTCGCGTTCGCGATGAAGGTCCCGCATTCGCGAAGGTGTAGAAAGATGGGTATCGCGTTCGCGTGTTAGAGCTCGCATTCGCGAAGAGGAAGAAAAGGCAGTTGGGACTCCAATGAGTTGTTCTACACGTTCGCGTAGAGGAGAACACGTTCGCGAAGGGTATGGCAAGTGAAGCTACGCATTCGTGAAGGGTATAGCAGGTGAAGCTATGCGTTCGCGAAGAGTAATTCTGATCCGTGGATTTTTGCTCTACACGAACGCGATGAGATGGACGCGTTCGCGAAGAAGGCCTATCTGAGCAGAATTAAAAGTCCAAAAAATGGGAGGTTGAGTTCATAACACAAAATCAAATTGGGAGCTCGGCGGAAGGTGATTTTTTGAGAGATTCTTGCATGGGTGTTTGGGGTAAGTGATTCTAATCCAGTTTTGATTAATTTCCATGATTATGCCTTTGAATCCATCATTTAATTCGGAATTAAATGGAGGAAAATCAAGATTTTTGTAAAATCTTCCAAAAACTTATTTAAGATTTGGAGGTTGAGTTGTTATTAGAATTCGATAAAATTGGTATGGTTGAACTCGTATCGGAATGGGTGTTCGGATTTTATGAAAATTATGTCGGGTTCCGAGAGGCGGGCCCCACATTGACTTTTGTTGACTTTTTTAAATAAATTTTTAAGTCGATGTATTATTATCCGAAAATATTTCTGATGAATTTTAATGAAGTTATACAATTAATTTGGATAGATTTGAGCTGTACGAATGTCAATTCAAGCAAGAAGGCTATTTTGGAATATCGGCCTAACTTCAAAAGGGTAACTGTCTTGCTTAACCTCGAGTGGAGGAATTACCCCTTAGGCATCGAGTCTTATGTGCCATTTGTGAAATATAAAATGCCGAGTACGCGAGGTGACGAGTACGTACTCGGGTTTATATATGCAAAGTTTATTTAGTTAAAGTCTTGAGAATATTGTGTAGTAAATTATATAATTGTTGGCATATATTTAATTATCTATTTGCCATGCCTCAAATCACATTTATTGAATTTGTTTTTATATGACAATTTGATGTAATTATTACTTGTATATTTATGTGAATCCCGTGAGTTTGATGGTTGATATTCTTGGAATTTAATTTTCATTATGAATTTTTCTTATGCAAATAATTAATTAAGCAAGTTTAAAAAGAAGAGTTAATATAATTATCTAAATTTTAATTAATGAAGGTTTTGCTTTATGCTGAGTAATTTCTATCTCTGCTGATTATTTTTGGAGTGTTATACATATTTTGTGGAGCCTTCAGCTATCTATTGTGAAATTATTTGATTTGGTTGTGTCTTTGAAATTTTGGTTGTGTCCATTGGGCAATTTGTGATATGAATCGATTTTGTTATGTTGCCATGATATTTTTTCGTGTAAATTATTGTGTTATGTGAGTTATTATTCTGAAGAGATTAGGGGGGGCATTTCATTGTTGTTGTGTTTGTTGGAATATTGTCTGGGTGGAGTGATAAGGGCGGCTATAGGAGCGATAAAGATGGCAATAGGAGCGATAAGGGTGGCTATTGATATTATTGGGGCGGAGCGATAAGGGTGACTATAGGAGCAATAAAGGTGACTATAGAAGCGATAAGAGTGACAATATGAGCGATAAGGGTGACTATTGTTAGGGACGATATGTGATGATGTTGAGTTGTGGTGTGATGATTCTCATGTGATATTGTGATTTTCTTGTATTTGTTTTTATACTTTGTGCAAATTATCTTGTTGTTGGTAAATTAATAATAATCTCATTTATGTTAAAATTGGGAGCCCGCAGCTATTGCCATGCGGATTATAAAATAAAATGTGGGCACGAGGTGATGTGAGTAAATAATGAGGATATTGGCATGTGAATTGTCCGTGCAGTTGTGATATAAAATGAGGGCACGAGGTGCCGGGGGAATAATATGATTTAATGATGGGCACGAAGTGACATGAAAATATAAAAAATAGGCTGAGACCTGTGTTT